TGCACTGATGCCCTAAAGGTTGATAATGCAAAGCTGAGGGCAAGTAACCAACAACTGTAACCAATTAAAAAAAAAACAAAAACTTTTTTTTGCTAGCTTACAAAGAAGTCCTCATGCAATGGTCAAGCACAAGATGAATCCAGCACAGGATTTGATAGTCTCAATGGCTAGTCCAAAGACACTTGGACGGTTAGCAGGGTCAGGTCTGTTACAGCAAAATCAGAATTTTGATTAAGAAAACCCGGCATCCCGACACACAATTGAGTAGATGTTCCCGAAGATTCGGACCTCCCCAGACCTTTTCTCAATCTTCTGAGCATGAAGAAGTGATCTCAAACTCTCACCACCACCAGCAGCAAAACAGAAGGAAAATACAGAGGTCTTTCTCCCACAAGACAACATGTGTCCACCTCAGGAGATGTCCCCAATTCCACTTCTGGCCCTCAGGCCTATAAACAAGTTAAGTCACAGCCAGGGGCAAACAATGTTAGGTCTGATAAGAGAGGAAAGGGACATTACCCCAAAGAAGCTGCAAGACCTAGATAGCACATATAAGCAGGACCGGGAGATAAATCTAGACCAGGAAAGCCAGAAATAAGACTGAATATATCCCATTTGTTGACTTGCTGCACCCTCTCAGAACACAAGACATAGCATTTTGGTAAGGACCCCAGAAGATGGTGCTAACTCACTGCTAAGGTTGCTCCAGAAACCAGAAACAATGACCCACAATGACTAGAGTTGAAATGCCTAAATTGCAGAGACAGAATTTTGAGGAAGGGATTAAAGGCTCAGAAAATTGGGCAGGCTAGAATGGACACCAGAGGATTATGGTCCATGGAAGGACCCAGAGAATATCTAGTCACCAAGGCCATCAGAAATACACTGGTCAGAATAGAACCAAAATCACTAAGAAAGAAATTCAGTGGCTCTCCTCTGCAGGCCAGGGTGAATACAAAAGAGCATGTCAGGGCACCTGAGTTGGATTGAATATCCAACTCTTGATTTAGGCTCAGGTCATGATCTCGGACTCTCTGGGATCAAGACCCACATCAGGCTCCATGCTCAGCACAGAGTCTGCTTGTCCCTCTCACTCTGCTCTTCCCCCATCCCCTGCTCCCATTCATTCTAAGATAAATGGATAAATCTAAAAAAAAAAAAAAGAAAGAAAGAAAAAAAGCATGTCATAGACATTAGCTTGCTGAAAGGAATGGAAATAATAGTGCCTTAAACTAATACTAAATATACCCCAAGAACCCAATATTCAACCTGTGTCACAAATAGTTAAGGTCCTTCTCTCCATCACCTGCGGAAATAAACGGAATTTCTCACTACAAATGGAAATTCTCTGGAACTTATGATGGCGATTCCTCATTAATGTACCTTGGCCAGACCCTGGAGAGAAGAACATTCTGTCTTGACAAAAAGTTCACCAGCTAAACTATACCCATTCCTTCTTCCCAACATTTAAAGCCTCTGCCTTATGGTTACTATACCAGCTGCCATGAACCTTAGTTCAGGACAGGTGAGAGATGATGTCTACATGATAATAAAGCAGAGTTGGTTTTGAAGCAAAGGCTGTGGGAACTAGGAAAATGCAGAGCCCACCCACCACCACCACCACCCCAGAAAATGTGGAAGTAAGCGTAAGCGACACAGCTTTAGGGGAAAAAGTCTTAGCAAGGGAACAGGAATAAATTAAGACAAAGAGGTAGAGAGGATGATTTATGAAGGAGGGGAGTTTGTCACAGAATTGAGGCAAAATAGATGTGTCCATCTTCACATCCTTCTTTGCTTGATTAACTCTTATTTATCCATTAAGAGCCATGTTAGCAGCCATGCCTTAAGAAGAGCTTTCCCTGTTCTTCACATTCCCTAAATCTTGACTTCAGCGTGTCACTACGGCAGCTACGACAGAATGCATTCTTTTCTGTTGTAATTGTTTTTATTGAGCTATAATTCACATACCATAAAATTCAAACTTTTAAGGTGTATAATTCAATGTTTTAATATATTTACAAGTTGCACAATCCTCTCCAATATCTAAGTCTGGAATATTTCAACACCCCAAAGAGAAGCCCCATACCCATTAGCAGTCATTCTCCATTCACCATTCCTTCCAGCCCATGGCAACCACAAGTCCACTTTCTGTCTATATGCATTTACCTATTTTGGACATTTTATATAAACAGAATTATACAATATGTAGTCCTTTTGTCTGGCTTCTTTCACTTAGCCAAATGCTGTCAAGGTTTATCTATGTTGTAGCATGTAAAAATATGTACTTCTCTCCTTTTTATGGCTGAATCATATTCCATTGTGTCTATATGCCACATTTTTTTACCCATTCATCACGTGATGGACATTTGGGTTATTTCCACTTTACGGTTACTATGAATACTGCTGCTATGAACACTGGTGAACAAGTTTTTAAGTGGACCTATGTTTTCAGTTCTCTTGGATATATGCCTAGGAATGGAATTGCTGGATCATATGGGAACCCTGTGCTCAACTTTTTGACGAACTGCTGAACTGTTTTCTATTTTATATTCCCACCAGCAATGTAACTGTCTTTCATTTATCTAGCCCTCAAATTTCTTGAGGGCAGGGACTATCTTATGTTCTACCATATCCCCAGCATTTAGCAACAGTGCCTAATGCAATATGGTTGTGTATGAGTATTTGTAAAGTGAATGACTGAATTAAAAGCCCAATAATTTTTTTCTACCTTATGCCTTCTTTTGGAGAGATACTTATCAAAATACCACTTCGTCACAATGCTCCCTCCCAATACCTTTAACTTTCTTCTCTCCAGACTCCTTCCCCTCTGAAACTAATCTAAGTAAATAACATACTCTTAGGTACTGGCACTTCTTGAGATGGGTGATCTATGATCACCAAACCGGAGAACTGGGATCTACTCAGGACTACTCACCTGCACATTAGAGAAGTTAATATAATATAATCTGATGGTAGAATCAAGTGTTTCCAAATTGGCACCAGTTAGCAGACAAGCAGATATTCATGTATATTTAGGGAGCAAAGTGACTCCCACATGGGGCCAGAGGCAACATATGAGGCCCATCCCATTACAAAGGCAGCGGAGAAGCTCTGCGGATGAAAGGGCCTTCCAATTCTAGCAGCTCTGGGTGGGGATTAGCCTCCCATGATTGGTACTTAAGTAGCCTGATGATTTCCAGCTCTGGCCAGTTAAAGAGATTATTGCATAGAGTAAATACTCACTTTGATCCTCAAACACAAAGTGGACATGTGCACTTACACTTTAAACATGACCAACTTCTCTTGATATGAAATAGGGACACATCTCTAATAAAATATGAATATACATTAATTCCCTGTAAAATCTCACAAAAATCTCTCCACTTCCGTTGATAAGCATTTACTGATACGGAAAGAGAAGACTCCCCTGATATTTTATATAAGATGCATCACATTGTACACATATACTTTGCATCATTCCATTTTTTTAAGAATAGAAGTCGTGTGTAACTATGTTGAATAAATTCTCAAACTTTTATATAAATGACCTGCAGTAAGCAGAATGCCTACCCCAAAGATGCCCATGCCCTAATTCCTGGAACCTGCAAACATGTTACATTACATGGAAAAAGGGACTTTGCAGATGTAATGAAGGTTATAGACCCTAAAATAAGGAGATGATCAGAATAATTTAGATGGACTCAGTGTGACCACATGAGCCCTTAAAAGGAGAGATCTTTCTCTGGCTGGAATCAGGAAAGATGTTGCAGAAGGAGAAGTCAGAAATGTGAAGGGTGAGAGAATTTCGAACTACTCTTGCTGGAAGGGGACCATATGGAAAGCATGAGGACAAATGTGGGCAACCTGTAGGACCCACAGCCCAGCACCCTAAATGACAGCAGACAAGGAAATGGGGACCTCAGTTCCATAATCAAAAGAAACTGAATCTGGCCAGCAACCTGAGTGAGTGTGGTAGCAGATTCATCCTCAAAGCCTCCAGATCAGGGCTCAGTCCAGCCAACACCAGGATTTCAACCTTGTTATGTACTGAGCAGAGGACCCAGCTGAGCCACTGTCCTCTTGACTTCTGACCCAAAGAACTATGAATAAATACATTCGTGTTGTTTTAAGCCACTGAGTTTGTAGTAATGTGTTATGGCAGCATCAGATAACTAATATATTACCAAATGTCAGTATATTAAATTCCAAAATTCCATAGTAAGGAAACACAATAACCACTAGAACAATCAATTAAAATTGCACACTCCTGGAACCAATTCACATTCCACTACCAAACGTTATTTGTTATGATAAATACATGGGAGATTTCTACCCATAATTATGGGGTAGTTTTTAAAATTGTATCTAAGAATAATATTCCAATTTCTAAGTAATTGTCTTCTCCAACATGTATAACTTTAGCATTCATTTTTAAAAAGTAAATAGATAATTGCTTTGTCCCACCTTTCATATTGGCTTATCAGTTCATACAGTTCACTATAGGTGTACATGTCTTTTATAATATATTTGATTAGATTCCTATTTCATGTAACCCTATATTAGTCACATTAACAAAAGCCAGTGACTGTTAATAAAGTTGAAGGAATCAATGTTTTCAAAAACCTAAGTACATAAATGATGTCAAAGATTTATAGCTCTCAAAAGTACAAAGAATTCTAAAGCAAAAGTCACTTACATTTTTAGTATATAAATACATAAAGCCAATAACATTGACTTACTTTTTAATAAGACTTTATTAGTCTAATGACCATATTTTGGTATTTATGTTTCTTAAATTAGTAGCTCCAAGTTGCATGTGGCTTCTTGCAAGCATATCACAGTTCCTCCAGGTCCTGATCTGAAGAACACATGCTTTGGATATTCCAAGTTCTACCTGCTCCAGCCAATGTTTCCAAATTACAACAATGCCAGTGAAATTGGACTTTCCCAGAGACTCTATAATATGATATAAAATCTAGATGTGGAACACAGACACTTACTTTTTCTGAGTTCTTTCAGCCAGCCTTGCAATCTCTATTGCTCCCTTCCTTGCTTCAAAATCTTCCCTTTTAACCACCTCTCCAGTCCCTCGGTAGCCTAGCTCCACCAACTGGCGGGCCAGGCCTTCATCCTAAAGAGAAAAATAAATTTTAGGATTTGCACACGAATTAGACATCTTATTTTATTCGATGTATACTGAATAACTATTTTAAATGAAAATCAAATTTATTTTTTAAAAATGAGACATATGAGATATGAGAACTTAGAATTCTTTCTAACAATACTTTCATAAACATCGGATTTATCACCCCTTTCCCACAGATGTACAATAAAGAAAAAAAAGGAAACAACATCAGTCACTAAATTTTCTCTAAGGGATTAAAGGACAAAAGTCTGTTATTTTTAATCCATTTATGAGAGCAGCTGTAGATAATTAATAGAATATCTTTAAAACAATAAAACTGAGACAACTGTACTCATACAAGAAAGACTTTGAAAAAACCAATTGCACAAAAAGAGAATTGGGTTGCTCCCATAAAGTGCAACATTTCAGAGACTTACTTCCTTGAAGTCAATGAACTGATGACACAGAGCATTAAAACTTCAAATACAAAATAAAAAGCAGATGAATTTCCTATTTAACTGGAAAGATCTTGTTTCCATATAATGTTGGTACCAATAAAGACAGCAAAGTAGAAACCCAGAAAGATGACAACAAAAAAGCTTCAAGCTGAAAAAAATTTCCCCACAATCCTTTAGCCCTTTCATATTTCAGCTACTTTAAGAAATGTCTCACACATTTGCGTCACTTACATAGCATATTCAAAAAAGAATACTGCTTCCCCATAATCTGAAGAGGTGTTGTTTTATATGAAGTTACTGATAGAAGGACTAAAGTATTACATAAAAACATGTATATGTTAATAATGTTCCTTACATCATCATCCTGGTTAAATATGAAATATTTGAAATACAGTGAAAACAGCATACATTTTATTGTTAGAGACACTTACTTAATACATCACTGTGGAATGCAAGAACCATCTGACAGAATTAAATGAGAAAATGTAAGATGCCTGGTTAATAATCGATTCAGCCCTTAGAGGCTGGTTTAAAATTCAAACCAATGGGAAGAAAACATTTAGACATTATCAGCCTAGAAACGTGCTTTCCTTTGCTAAAAATTAAAAGCAAATACAGTTGACTCTCAAACAGCAAGGGTTTGAACTGTGCAGGTTCACTTACACACATTTTTTTTCTCAATAAATATACTGGAAAATTCTTTAGAGATTTGTAACAAATTGAAAAAAAAACTCACAAATTAATTGTGGAGCCCAGAAACAGTGAAAGAATTAAGAAAAAGTTACTTGTGTCATAAATGCATAAAATATATATAGACACTAGTCTATTTTATCATTTACTACCCTAAAAGATACCTAAATCTATTATAAAATGTTAAAATTCATCAACACTTACAGATTGTACACCATCTTTTCATTTTTCATTCTGATATCAGTAATACATACAACATCTACAGCAATCTGTATCCTCTAAGACAATATTGAGGTAGGTATTGAGAGACGATTCGTCTTGTAAAAGTTGATGTAAACTTACTTTAGATAAAACACAGTCCAGTACTGTAAATGTATTTTCTCTTCCTTTTGATGTTTTTTTTTAAGATTTTATTTATTTATTTGAAAGAGAAAGTGAGAGAGGGAGATCGTGAGCACACTCGCATGAGCGGGGAAGGGGCAGAAGAGGGAGAGGGAGAAGCAGATTCCCCGGTGAGCAGGCTCCATCCCAGGACCCCAGGATCATGACCTGAGCTGAAGGCAGATGGTTAACCCCTACCCAGGAGCCCCTCCTTATGATGTTCTTAACATTATCTTTTCTCTAGTTTACTTTATTGTAAGAATATAGCATATAATACACGTGACATACAAATATGTTTTATGTTGTCTCTTCAACTGTTTATGTTCTCAGTAGGACCTATGGTCAACAGTAGGCTATTGGTAGTTAAGTCCTGGGGGACTCAAAATTTCTCCACAGATTTTCAACTGCTTGGGGGATCATCGGTGCCCCAATTCCCTTGTTGTTCAAGGGTCAACTGTACGGAATTCTGTGTAGTAATGGGGATGCATTTGCCAAGCTAAGAGTGCAAAGCACCAGGCCTTGGGAGGGCTATGTGCCTTTTTTTCTGACTCATTTCCCTGCTTATTATACCAGTTATTCTAGGCTCTTCGGTGAGAAGCGCAAAACTAAGCAAATGCCTCCACCTAGTGGAATTAATATTTAATAGAAAAAACAATGAAGATTTTGGATTTGATTTACAAAAGAGAGCTGATTTGAGTGTAAGTTTTCATAAATATATTGTTAAAAGTGAGCATATGGGAAGAACTCTCAGCTAAACTCTTGAGACTGTGGGGTTTTTCTAGAAGAATGTAAATGACTTGTAGTCTTCACAGTATTTGATATAATGAAGGCGATTAAAAAGTTGCCATTATTAATTCCATATATGGAATGAATGGTACATTTCTGTGTGCCTTTCCTGGGCCACACAAAATCATTTGAATAGCTCTTCACTCATCTACATTAATGTATATTGCAACAAATAGCAAGATCTACTGAGAAAACAAGTAGAAAGCTGAAGTTGGTTGCCTCACCAACCATTACCACTAATAGAATCATAAATCATCTGTCCACTTTAAAGGGTCAATTATCTTTAAAGAAATTATCCTTAAAGAAACCTGAGAAACAAAATATTTTTACTTATTCACATATTTAGCACTTCTGATGCTTTATTCCTTTGTGTAGATCCATGTTTCCCACTGATATGATTTTCCTTCTACCTAAAAAACTTTCACGTTTCTTGTGGTGTAGGTCTGCCAACAACTAATTATCTTGCCTTTTGTTTGACTGAAAAAATGGATTTCACCTTAATTTTTGAAAGATATTTTTGCTGGGTTCGTGCTCCAGATTGACTTTTGACCTTTCAACACTTTAAAGATGTTACCCCATTGCCCCATGCCTCATATTACCTCTGAGAGGTGGCTAGTCTTTCCCGTCTGTTTTATTTTACATAATGTGTCCTTTCATTTTAGATTCCTTTAAGATTTTTTTTTTATCACTGGTTTTCAGCAATTTTAAGATAGTCCTTGGATTGGTTTCTTTGTGTTTATTTTGCTGGGAATGCACTGTACTCCTTGGCTCTACAGATTTATAGTTTTCACAGAATTTGGAAATTAGCCATTATTTTTTCAAATATATTTTATTCCCTACTTTCCTGGGATTCGACTTACATTTTTTGGAAGGGCAAAAAGATTATCATTTTCTATAAAACTCTATGGTTTTGACTATAATAGTTCATCTTAGTAAAAAATAGGTTATTAGCCATGATAATCCAAGTATGTAAGTAAGGCAGTAATCTTGTATTGTCAATGCTTCTTCCCTCATATGATTGAGTCATTGATGTTTGGAGGCCAGTGGTTTGGAGCAGGTTAACTATAAAGAGGCATCATGCAGAGCAGAACCCAGAGATGGCTCGCCCTTAAAGAGAAGGCTTCCTTGCTACACATGAACCATAAAACATGTGGCAAGGCAGAGGCCACCCAAGTGGGCAGCAAATGTCTGTACAAGACTTAATTCTGACTGCATGACTATTCTTCTGGGACAGATGTTAGACATCTCTCAGCTGCTGGGAGAGATGTTTGGCCCCAAAGATGTGGATTGGAACGGTACCTTCCAGTTGCTGTGGTCTTGGACCTTGGCAGAGTTGGACTGGGACTCGAGGGTTCCATCCCAGAAGCCCGCAAAACTGCCCAGGGTCATACTGATTTCTGGAAGGCTACAGATCTGTGGTCTGGCATGCACAATTCACTCCCCAAACAGATTTGGGGCTGTACTGTCCCTAGTCTTTGGGCCAGAGCTCATGCCCACCCCCAGCCTGGCTGCACCCCTGGGGCAAAGTGCCTCCCACACTGTTCCTCTAGTGGGGTAATGCTGAGTGGTAGATGAAGATTGGAATTTGGTGTTATGTGGGATGAGCCAGACTCCTAACAGTTGAGTCTGGAACAAGGGGTAGCCAGCATCTGGAGCACTGAGGTATTTCTCATCAGAAGAAAGAGAGAGAGATAGAGAAAGGAAGGAAGAGGGAAAAAATGAAGGAAGGGGAAGGGGAGGAGGAAGGGAGGAAGGGAGGAAGGGAGGAAGGGAGGAAGGGAGGGAGGGAGGGAGGGAGGGAGGAAGGAAGGAAGGAAGGAAGGAAGGGTGGGTGGGTCTACGGCCACTAGAACACTTGATGTTGCCCACAGGCTACTGAGGCTCCCGTAGCTTTTGTCTTTTGTTATTATGTTGTATATTGCTGGAAAAGAGTTATTATTATAGTTCAATCTTAGATTTCTTCAACTAAACTCACTGATTTGTTCTAAAAGGGTTCCAGTTTAATTTTCTTGTATTCTCATGGCAGATAATTATACCGCTTTTATAATAATATTCTGACTTCTTCCAAGTATTTATGACACTTTTCTTTCATCATAGCATTGCTGTGGTCAGACTACCAATAAAAAGTTAGAGTACTCACAAACATTTTCACCATGTTTCTATTCCAGTGCTAAACTTTCCAAATGTTTAACCGCTGATTATAAAGTTCACAAGTGATTGCTATATACTCTTCATCAAGTTATGACATGAGTTTAGAATTTTATCCTATGCTTTTTCTGCAACTATAGAGACTATATTTTTTCTTTTTAAAATTAATGTCTTGAGGGCGCCTGAGTGGCTCAGTTGGTTAAGCGACTGCCTTCGGCTCAGGTCATGATCCTGGAGTCCCTGGATCGAGTCCCACGTCGGGCTCCCTGCTCAGCGGGGAGTCTGCCTCTCTCTCTGACCCTCCCTCCTCTCATGCTCTCTATCTCATTCTCTTTCTCAAATAAATAAATAAAATCTTTAAAAAAAAAAAAGAAGTCCCTGATTTCCCCCCAACAAAAAGACTTTATTTTTCACTCCCATTTGAATGTTAAATTACCTACTTTAGTCAGTCCAGGCAGGAAAGAGATGACACACTTAAATGGAATAAGTGAAGGAAACTGAGTGGCTGAGTTAATTAACAAAGGTATAGACAGGGTTAAGAAA